ATGGGTTGGGGCAAGGGCTCCCTGGGACTGTGGGGTGGGGTGGTCTCTTTCGAGCTGGGGTCCCCTCTACAGGGCTGGAAGGTAGAGTCCCGGTTCCCGACCCTTTGCGCCTACTCTGCCACCCAGAAAGCTGTTTCCGCTGGTCCCAGGCGCAAAGTGCTCTCTGCTTACATCCACGCCCGAGCGCCCCCCACAAGGCATCCGGGGTTGGGGACGCGGTGCAGGAGAGATCCCTCCCCTGGATAGATCTGGCCGGTCACTCCACCAACCCCACCATCTAAGGACAGGTGGATTTTGCACAGCAGGGTCCGTGGGTTCCTGGTGCTCATGTGTAGGGGACAAATCCGGCAAGACCGGCCCCGGGATGAGGGGACAGAGGCCCAGCCGACGTCGCGCTCCGTTGCTCAGCCTGGGGACCGAGCTGAGTGGAACAGGAAGCCGTGCAGACCACCAGGGTGGGCGGGGCAGGGGCAGAGAGAGACCTTGGAGCCAGAAGCCTGCGGCCCTCCCCAGTGTCCTGTGCCCTCCTTCACGGTGCTTGGCCAAGGAGGTCACCCGTGCCATCGCCCTGCATGTGGCCAGGCTGGTCTGTCCATCTTCCAAGTCCTCAATTTGGCACCGCTGGCAGCAATGCTGGGTGCCTGGGCGTGTGCGCAAGCGTGTGCGTGTATGTGCGTGTCTGTGTCCCACAGGGTCTGCTGCGGTGGCAGTGCTGGGGGGCCCGAGGGTGTGGCCTGGAGGACCCCGTGTGGATAATTTCGGGGGGGAGGGAACCTGCGCTCGGCTAGGAGATGGGGTGGATGGTCTCTCCGTTCCCTACTAGAAAGGAAAGCCCAGGGGCCACCAGGACCTGCGCGGGTCGTCGCTCGGCCCCCGCCCCGCCCCCACCCCCGCGGGCGCTGGAGCGCAGGTGTCTCCGGGCCGCGCCCTCCCCGTGCCCCCTCCTCCGCCCAGGAGAGCGGTCAGGAGGGAGACGGCGGGCAGAGGGTCGGGGTAGATGCGTCTGTGTCACGGGGGAGGGAGGAGAAAAGGGTGGGGAGCGCGGGGAGCGAGAGAGCGCGCGGCGAGCGAGGAGGCGGGCGGGAGGCGGGTCCTCCTACCTGGGCGCGCTCACTGCTCGCGACTCGCTCGCCGGGCCGAGTCACCTGGGAAGCCCGACAAGTGCGGACACATTGGCCGCCGCGGCGCTCGGCGAGGCGCGCACGGCCCCAGGCGGCTGCGCCCGTGGAGGCAGCTCCCGCCCGCCGTGACTGGCCCCGGCCCGCGCTCATAGGGCCCCGCCGTCGCCCAGCGCGACTCCGAGGTCGCAGTCCCGGGCCCCGGCCCCTCTCCGGGGCACACGCCGCGGCCGCGGCGCCCCGGGCTCACCATGGTGGCTGCGCGCGCCGAGCGCCCGCGCGTCGCCGGCCGCCCGAGCCGCAACGCCGGCTGAGCGCGCTCCGCCCGCAGACCCGACCCCCGCCCGCCCCTGCCAGGCCCGCGCGTCCCCCGGCCGCCGCTGTCTATGGCGCAGCCCCCCGCTCTGGATCATGCACAGAAACTCTCGCAAGTGGATCTTCTACGTGTTTCTCTGCTTTGGCGTCCTCTACGTGAAGCTCGGGTGAGTACCTGGGGCGGCAGCAGCGGGAGAGCTGCCTCCGGGTGCCCTCGGGGACGTGAGGCTGCTATCGGGATCCAGGGCGGCTTGTACGTGGGCCCCGCGCCCGGCCCTGCGGAGAGGCCGTCGGGCCCCTAGGCCTAGGGCTCTAAGGGTGCAGAGCAGGGGCGGGGGGCGCGAGCGTGCCCGGCGCCTACTTTCACCTGTTTGGGCTCCGGGCCCCGGAGCGGGACGCGCCTTCCCTCCCCCAGCTGCTCTGGGCGCCGAGCCCGGGCCGAGCGCTCGCCGCCGCCGAGAGGGCGCGCCAGGCGGGGGGCGGGGGTGCGCACCGGGCGGCGCGCGGGCAGGCCCCGCACCCGCCGCGGCCCCGCGTCTCTATCCATCACCCGGACGTGTTGAAATTACCTTGACAACCCGTCCGGCTGGCTCGGTGTGGGCTGCGGGGCTGGCCCGGCCGCCTCAGGCTCGGTCCGGGAACCGCGCCCCCGCCCGCCCAGGACCCCGGCCCGGCCCCCTCGCGCGGCCCGGCGGGCAGGCGGGCGAGCACCCGGCGGGCCGCGCGCTGCTTGCTGCGGTAGCTGCTCCGAGTCGTATTTCCACATTCCTGAACCCAGCCGAGTCCTTACCTGTTGAGCCGCGATCTCCTTTAGACAGAGTCTGTCTCGGCCTCCTTCGATTGGGGGTGGTGTGACCCAGAGGGAATACGGTGCACCTCGCAGGTGGCGCCCACTGCCCAGGGCCCCTTGCCCCTGTGCTAGCCGCACCCCTCTGCCCCGGCCCGCTGTGCTCCTACTGTGTGCCCAGCGCACCCGCGGGCCCATTGTGAGCAGACCTGCAGGGACCCGGTGAGAGACAGGCTTCCTAGGCAGAGGAATCAGCTCTTCCATCGCCCTTCCATCTCTCCTTGGCTCCGCCATTTTACAAGTGGAGAAACCGAGGCCCGGAGCAAGCAGGGCTCCAACCTGGGGGCCTCCGGGGCAGGGCTGGAAGCCTGGGTGATGGTCTCAGTCCTGCAGGCCTGGGCGAGTGCCTGTCCTGCTCTTGGTGGCTCTGTTCACTGTAGTCCGTGGGCAGGCTGTATCCCTGCGTGATTGTTTATGGAGGTGTGGGGGGCCTGCGTCCAGCCGCCGAGGCTGGGGAGGGCCAGCCACTGTCTTCCAGACACCTGGCGCTCTGGGGTGCCATCCCTGCTGCCCGGCTCCCCAGGGAGGCCTTGAGCAGCTCCTGGCAAACCCTGGTTTAGCGCTTTAGCTCTCCCAGCTCTAAGGATTAGGAAACAGCGCAGGAGGCCAAGTCACTGACCACGAGGATCAGAGGTGGAGCTGGGGCCCGCTCTTCCTAACATCAGGTCCTCAACCAGAGGCCCAGGCCAGCAACCCTCCCCCACCAGGCAGTGGAAAGAGCGCCCCAACTGAAGCAGGAGCTGAGAGTCAGGCAGCCTGGCCTCTAGGGGGTGGGTTGCCAGGCATGGAGGGCTGTGCGGCCTTCCTGAGCCTACTGCTCCCTCTGTAAGTGGAATCGAGGCTCTGGCCTCTCTGGACCTCGTGGGTCAGACAGCAGATGAGCCAGACCCCAGTGGAGCCCCAAGGCCGAGGTAGACCCCTCACCCAACTGTGTAAGAGAGGGAGGCACGGCCAGGCTTCTCTCCCTACCCAGGAACCCTGGAAGGGGTCCCTTCCCCCTGGTGAGTGGCTCTGTCCCTAAGGGAAGGGTGGGCAGAGAGGGGACCTACCCACCTGGCTCCTCCCAGAGGCCTGGCCCTGCTTTCTGTGTGTGCTATCTCAGGGGTATCAGGTAGGCAAGAGAGGACAGTGGGGCTCAGATGAGGAGGTTTGGGGGTCTGGATCTGACTTCCCACCCTTCCTGGCCCAACCTGGAGTGGTCCTTGGTAACCCATGCAACCTTCCTTCACCATGGCTGAGCTGGCACTGCCCTTGGGCTGCCTGCTGAGGACTTAGTCCTGGGGCCTTTGCCCTGATAGAGTAGGGTCCTGTCGGGGGTGAGTATCCCCATAGGCACCTAGAAATCCTTTCTTACCTTAATGACCAGGGGACCACTGCCCAACTGGGACCCTGGGAATGCCTCTGAATGCTGTATTCCGCCATCTCAGAATCCCAGGAGTTGGGATTTTAAGGTCATAAAGGTTCCAGCCCCAATTCAGAGATTGTAGGTATTGGGGGTGTTCTGTGGTCACAGCTCCCTGAGCCTACCTGGTGTGCTGTGTGTTTCTGCATGTTCAGGGAGGGTGTGCAGTCCTCATCCCCACCCACACACTCCTCACCTAGCATCCTTCAGCCATGAAACTCAGAAGAGCGGCTCTGGGGCCTCTCATACCAGAGGGACCGGAACTCGCCCCTCATAGCCCCAGAACAGATGTGCCTTAGAATCTGACAACTGCACAAGAGAGTGGGTGTGCGGAGCCCCAGTTCCTCACCTGGGCCACTGTTTGGATGGAGCAGCCTCCAAGCCCCAGTCCTGGAAGGGGTCAAGGCAGAATAGGGAGCAGCCCTGCTGGAGTCTGGGCCACCAAGTCCCAGGACCAGCCTTGCCTGGGGCCCTTGCAGCCAGGAGGAGCAGAGGAGCTGGGGGACCAGGAGGGATGCAGCCGGAGGAGGAAGAGGAGCCTTTTCTGGAGACACTGGAGGAGTCTCCATGACAGGCCTCCAAGCCAGGAAATGAGCTCGTGGGGACCTCTGGCCACACTGCACAGAGCTCCCCTTTCCTGCTGCCCTGCCTGCTGTGACCCCCCTAGCAGGGTTCACATCCCTCCAGAGGGACACTTTTATACAGCCAGGATTGGCAGGAAACAGGACATCGACCCCAGTCTTGTGCATCTAGGCTTAAAAAAACCTATGGAAAGAGAAAGAATTGTTTAGAAAGTGTGTCTTTCCACTCTACAACTGTCCCAAGAAAATCCTCAAAGTCCAGCCAAAGCTGTGAGGTGAGGAAGCTGGAATTGGGGGCCCCCAGTGTGAGCAGAGGGCACCTGTCCAGCACCCTGTGTCAGCCTCACCTGGGAGGGCTCTGGTAGGCAGGACAGAGGGCTCCGGGACCCTCAAAGGGCCACCCTACTGCAGCCTGTGTTTCCACACCCGGCTCCTCTGCCCCTGTGCACACAGGCAGAGACGGAGCACACGCAGGGGTCTGTGCGCGCGCACGCACGCACACACGCGCGCACACACACACACATGCACACACGCACACACGCACGCACGCGCGCGCACCTGGGGCCATGCTCCCGCAGACACACACAGGTACATGCATGGGCTCCGCGGCACAGGCTGCTGAGCGCAGCCCGGAAGAGGAGCATGCGCCTCCGTGCGGTTACCCCATGGTACCACCCCCAGGGGTGCGCTCCAGAGCCAGCTCCAAGCTCCATGGCTCTCCGAGGGTGGGGGTGAGCGCATCCGGGCCAAGGCAACTTGGGCAAACCCTGGGGGCGGCTCCCAGTCGCGCTCCGCTCTCCGGTCAGCCTCCCCTTTAAAAAAACCCGCCCGCCGAGGAGGCGGATGTAGGGGCAGCCCGTCCAATGGCAGCTGCGCGCCTCGGGAGACTTGGAGACGTGAGCCAGCGCGAACGACAGAGCCGGTTCGCACGGACAGACAGACAGACAGAGGGCCCGACGGCCGCCAAAGCGCGCCCCCCGCCCCGCCCCGGCCCGGCCCTCTCCTCCGGCCCCAGCGTCTGCCGCGCCTCCTGATCCAGCGCGATGCCCGGGCCTGGCGGTGGGGCCCGGGCGATGACTGCCCCCTGGCCCGCGAGCCCAGGCCCCTAGTGACCAGCGCTGCCGCCCTGCACCGGGGAGGGCTACGGGGGCCCCGGCTTCAGCTGGCCTAGGAGCCCTGTGGGAGAGGCCTGCCCAGCCCCCCAGGCGGGTGGCCCACCATGCTCCTGCTGTCGCCGCGCAGTGCGCTCCTCTCCGTCTATTGCCCGCAGATCTTTCTCCTCCTGTCCAGCGGCAGCTATCTGTGAGTGCCGCGGGCGGCGTGCAGGGTGGGCGGGTGGTGACCCCTGGACCTCAGTGCTGGAGCGGTCAGGTAGGGAAGTGGGCATCGAGGCCCCGGGGAGGGACGCTGGGGGTCCCGAGCATAGGAAGGAGGCTGGGGATCTTGGGTTGCTTCAGCCCCGAGGTAGCGCACCTGGGGAACAGCTTCGGCAGGGAATTCAGCTGTGGGGTCAGAGAAAGGGTGGCCCGAGGGCGTCCCACTGCCCGTGTAGACTGCACTGTGCGCCGGAGCGGGAGGGTCGGAGAGATGGCGGCAGAGTGGACAGTCCCTGCGCGTCCCAGCCGAGTTCTGGACCGGAGGGAGACTCTCTCCCTTATCAGCCTACGAGGTGCGCGTGGGAGTGCACACTAGAGAGCTGCACGCACACACCGCTGCCCTATGCTCACACTGCCAGTGCACCCGACGCCCCATCAGTGGCCAGCCTGTGCCCCAGTGTTGCTGCTGCTTCTCGCGCCTGCCGGCTGTGCTGGGCAGCCAGACCTCGCCTCTGGTCGACTCCTCACCTGCGGGCGGGGAGGGTGTGCAGTGTGCGAGAGCGGCGGCGGCGCGCCGAGTGTCAGCGCGCGGGGAAGGAGCTAGCAGAGCTCGGGGGCGCGCGGGCATCGGGCAGGGCAGCGCCCACCAGGCCATGGGAAGCCAGGGCCGGCCCAGTCCGGCCCAGCGAGTCGAGGGGGCGCGTCCGCACAGCGGTGGCTTCGCCCGATTCCTAATAGGACGCATATGCTCTGGCCTCCGATGTAAAAAGTTTGATTTATGGAACCGCCGTTTGGGGGAATTTAAGCTGGATGCTACTGATTAAACCTCAGAGCCAGCGCTCCCTCCCCCTCGCCTCCCCTCCCCCGCCCCCTCCTTTACACGCGGGCCACGTCCGGGGTCGCCTAACGCGGTCAGAGGGGACAGCCGCCGCCTCCCGTTCCCGCGCCACCCCCTGTGCCGCGCGGCCGAGGTCCTAATAAATTGCCGTGCGCCCCTACCCCCTTTTAATAAATACAGAGCCAATTTCTCCTCTAGCTCCTAGGAAATTACTATCCTACCAGTTTTCCTGCTATAAATAGTCGCGCATCTTGAAACAAAAGTTCGCAACCGCAGCCAGATGCTGCGAGGGCCCGCGGTTTCCCGGGCTGTGGGACATAATTACAAGGTCCGGGCAGAGCAAGCGCTCCAGGCCCGGCGGGCAGCCCGGGCTGCGGAGGCATCGCCTGGGGCGGGGTGGGGGATAGCAGGCCGCCACGGGGAGAGCGCAGGCCCCGGTGAGCACTGTCTGATTCTTGGGGACTCAGGCTAAAAGAGTTGCCTGGCCAGAGGGTCCTGCTTCTGGTGTCCCTCCCCCAAAATGGCAAGGGGCCCTTGGTACCCCCGGCTTCCGGTTTTTGAAGTTGGAAAAGCCTCCCCTCTCCAGAGTGCTGGCATCTGGATGCAAGCCTTGCTAGCGATGATCCGGCAGCTTCTCTGCCTGAGGAGTCATTTTTGGAGCTGCTGGCTGAGGTCTGGTGTGCCTGGGGGGAGGTGTCCAGGGGTGGAAGCCAGGAGCCCTTGGTGGAGAGAATCGGGAAGGAGGGGTCGCAGGGTGCTCAGGGGCCAGTGAGAGTGGGGTTGCCCACAGCAGCTGCGGGGCTGACTGGCAGGTGGGAGCCAGGTCAGCCCTTCAGGCCCAAGTTTTCCTTTGGGATGCCCCCTTCCTGGCCTGTGGTGGCCACCATCGGTACCCACACGGGCTCACTCCTGCCTGCATTGCCAGCTCTGTGGGCAGAAATTCTTTTAAGGGAAAAGCTTTCTCAAATGTTCCTGGGCCAGTGCTAGGGTTCAGTGTGTGTCTTGGGGGACAGTCAGGCAGCCTTGGGGATGGTAAGGCAGACCGGGAAGGCAGCAGTTGGTGGAAGGAAGGGCTGACGTCATCCCTCCCCAGGGCTATCAACTCTATGGGGTTCCCAGGAGCCAGAAGTGTTTGGCTTCCTTTGCCCTGATGGGTGGCCAAAGGCTGACCAGTGTGTGTGATGCCCCAGGTGGGCACTGGGCCTGGGTAGTTGGAGCAAAAGCCTGCATAATGGGTGGATGGTCCCTGACCCCCGAGGGGACTTGTGTGGGGCAGCCCATGCCAATAAGCCTCGAGCACTTGGCAAGGTGGTGGGGTTCCATGTGCACCTGCCCTCAGCCCTGCAGGAGCAGCCAGAGGGCGAGCCCGTGAGACTGAGCTTCCTTCTGCTCCAGAGAACTTTCCAGAAGGCATCCCATCACTCTGCTCAGACTGGCTGACAGTTGATGCAGCCCCTTTCATCTGGGCTGCTCTCCCAGCTCCTGTGCCGGCCTGTGGCCCGCACGCAGAGGAGCCAGACCCATGCCTGGGCCTCTGTTGCTGATTGGGTTGGACGGGTGTGCTGGCCTGGAAGGGCCCTAGGCCCCGCAGATGCTGAGGGTGGCCCAGCTGTGCGCAGCAGCCCGGGCCGGCACCCCATCCCCATGCCCGAGGGTCAGATCAGAGCTCCCAGGGCTGGTGGGGGTCAGCAAGGGCCCACAGGGGGCAGGTGGGGCCCAGGCCCCCAGGAGGGCCTATGTTGCTGTGTCAGCTGGCGTGGGGGCCTGGCCCGGGCCCAGAGCCAGGCCCAGACTGGGCCACTGTCCTGGGCAGGTCCCTTCCGGTCTTGGCGTCCTCTCCCAGATGTGGGGGTTGGCTGTGACATCCCCCCCAGGTCTTCCGGTGCAGCCTGTCATGGTGACTGCCTGCTCTGGGGAGTGAGTCATGGGTGACAGGGCGGTTACTCACCGACCACCTGGCTGTAGGGGGTGGGGGCGCCCACCACAGCCTTGCCAAGTGAGCTTCTTTCTGGCTCCTGCTGTGGCTTTGTTGGTGGTGGCTGCAGGCGTGACCCTCTGTGGGTGTGCCGAATCAGGCCCACTCCCAGGCCCTCCTCTCCAAGGCAGGCAGGATGGCCCCCGGCCTGGCTCAGAGCAGGTCACAGCCCGGAGGCTGATGTCTGTCTGTCTCTCTGGACCTCAGTCTCCTCATGGGTCAGGGGGCATGGAGATGCCATCCCCACAGGCTCAGGTCAGGCCCGGTACCCTCTGGTTCACAGGCCCGTGACACTGCTTGTCGTGGGAGGGTGGCCCATGGAGGTTAGGACGCGGAAACTTGGAGACAGCTTAAGCCCCAGCAGCTCTCCTGGCTGGAGGTAGACAAGTAGGACCTCTCTGATCACAGAAAATGCCACAAACCCATTGCCATGTGGCCACACCTGGCCAACCGTGAGAGGGGAGATGGCATCCCCCACAGGAAGCCCAGGGCCCATGGATGGTCAGGTCTGGGTGCTCAACCGGCCTTGCCTCTTACTGCCCGGCTTTGTCAGAACCCAGCTGTCTCCGCTGAAGAGTGAGCTGCATTCGCACCAGCCTCACCATGTGGCCGAGAGAGGTTCTCCACTGACAGCACAGAGGGAGGCCCAGCAACTATATTTGTTTAAGAGGGAGAAACAAACCCCGTGGGGCATCTCTAAGGGCTTTCTGGAGGGAATGTCACCTAGCCGGGGTTCTGAAGGATGAATAGGAGTTGATCAGACTAAATAAAAGAATGAGACTCCCAGATGAGAGAACACAGCTATCAAGCATGTTCACCCAGGGGCTCTCCTCTGGGGAGATCACAGCATTGTACTGAGGGGTAGACAGGATCCTGGGCCAGAGATGGGGCCTTTCCTGAGGTTGCCAGAATCTAGGTCCAGCCTGCCAGCTTGAGGCCCCTGAAGGGAAGTCCTCCAGGGGATGGTGCTGCCTGAAGGGCCTGGTGGTGGGCAGAGGTGGTCCAGTGGCTCTCTGGGAGGATTGGGGCAAGGATGGGTGGTGCTCTGAAAGGAGTTGATGGAGGTGTCACCACCCATTGCATCCGTTCCGCTGTCATACACTCTCCGGGGCTGCCCTGGGACCACCCTGGACACTGGCCTGGCAAGCCCCACTCCCTCTTCCTGTCCGTCTGGCAGCCTCCAGGGCAGGCAGGCCACAGGTGCAGTGTTCTGGGTGCCTCAAGACAACCGAGCTGCTGCCAGGGTTTGGGTCAGTGATGCCATGCTGGGCGTCCCTGAGTATGGTGGTGGGTGATGGCCCAGGTGTAGGGCAGGCAGTGTCCAGAGTGGCCTCTTGGGCCTCTGTTCCTCTCCCATGGATGGCAGGGCTCCAGTGGGCTTCCCGGAGCCTCCGTCCTGCATGGCCCTGGGTCTGGCTCAGATGGGGCTCAGCTCCCTCCCAAGGGGACCGGAGGCGGGTGCCCTCCCTTGTCAGATGAAACCCCGGCCCAGGGCTCCCGCAGCCTGATGAAAGGGTCATTGTGTGGCTCGGGCCGCCCGCTGGCCAAGGACAAAACCTCCGTTTGTCCTCCCTCCTTGGCTTGGGGCTGGGGGCCTCCCTCAGGCTGGCCGGTGGGTGGGGGTGGGTACAGGTGTGCACCTTCGCCCGTTCCCTCCTGTCTCCTACCCAGTTGCCTGGGCCCCTCCCCCAGCTGGCCCCTACCAGGGATGCTGAAGCATGGGCCAGACTGGTAGGCAGGCAGTGAGCTCTCTGGCCCTCGGGACATACAAGCAAATGCAGGAGGCGTGAACTGGGGATGGGCACTACCCAGGCAAAGCGAGTTATCATGGGTCCTCGGGCAGGGCAGCCAGGGGGTGTGGCTGGCCCTTGCTACAGACCCAGACCCTGAAGCCACCTTCAGCCGAGCAAAAGGAGTCCTGGCCACAGACTGGTGGCTGCTGAGGGGCTGGGGATGTCACAAGGGCCAGGCTGAGGCTGAGTGGAGGACATTGGACTCTTCAGTCCAGGTGGGCACTGCAGCTGTAGGTGGCACAGCCGGAAGCCAGGCAGGGGCCCAGATGGTCTGGAAGAGCTGGAGCCAGCATCACTTGCGGGTCCCTCCGGAGCCACAGAGGCCCTTCGACATCTTCCAGGACCAGCTCCCGTGGTGCCCAACTGTCTTGTGCTCTGAA